TTAAATTACTCAAATACGCTTTTTATATATATTTAAAGAGTATAACACAAGTGCTTAATGGTAATTTCACTTAAAAATTTTCTAGTTGAACTCGAGCAGAGCTCGAGCATTTGATTTCAAGTCGAGCTCGAGCATTGTATTTTCTTATCGAGTCGAGCACGAGTCTCATAAATCGAGCTCGAGGAGCTAAAAAAAATTCACTCGAGCAGCTAAAAAGAAAAATTCAATCCTGCTCGATAAGGTCAATGCTCGACTCTGGCTCGTTTGCAGCTCTAGTTGTGGTTAATTTATTTAGTTGCGACCATGAAGTTGTCGAGCAGTTATTTATTGGGACTGCTTCCTTATTCTTTTCTTGATTAAGTTAAAGTAAAATTAATCTGATCACTTGGATTTTGTATTGCATTGATCAATATATATTATATACATATTGTTGTGTACACAGGAAGAGGTTTGATGCTGTCTTCTGGGAACTAGTCTGACACTTGTGGATGATTGTTGGATTATGATATGTAACGTATTAATAAGCTAGTCGCACTTGGAGCTGTAATGTTATTACAATGAAGTTGCAGTGTTTTACATTTAAAACTCTTATGTTATTCTGTATTTATCGATCAACGGTTGGAAACAAACTTAAACCGGTTTATGGAACTTATGGCATGACGGAATGACATGAGAATGAAATGATCATTTCCTTCCCATGATTGGTATATTTTACGAAAAGGAATGACTTTTTCAATGAGAATTGTAAAATCTGTCTCCATATATGATTATTTATTTCATAACTGATGCAAGATTCTCTCATTCACATATTTGCAGGAATTAATTTTTCAACAAATAAATATAACAAATAATAATAAGACATAAATATATGATATACACTATAAATCAGGATTAAATTATATTAAATAAACTCATTTTAAAAAATAAATTTCAAATACAAAAACTAAAACTTATTTTATTTATTTCTTATATTTTAATTAGATATATTAAATACTACATGTAAATAAAACTAAAAACATGCATTTATAAATAATATAAAAAGATATTATTTTATTTTTATACACCATATATATTATATATGTATTCATAAACTGAATTATAATATCAAAAAGTACATTCGGCCATATTTAATGATATATTTTTATTAGTTAAGATGTATATTAATACACAATTCACTAATTTATTTTATATAATATATATGAGTGTAACAATGTAAAAATATATTTATTAAAATATAGTATTTTTTAAGAAATACAATATTTTTTTATTATTATCATAAATAAAAAATAACATTAATGTAAATATTATTTTTTTTCTACAAAATAGTAATAAATGAAAATATAGAATGATAATGTCATTCCATTCAAGTTTTATTTCTTATGTATTGCCAAACATATCAATGAAAAAACTTATCTCATTTCTTTATAATATTCGTTTCATTCTTCTAACTCATTTTCTTCCTATCACATTTCAATCCAGTATAAATAAGTTGTTGCAACACATTTATGCGAAATTATTTTGATTTAATTAAGTTTTTGTAAAGCACACGCATTTGATTTAAATAAGTTTTTGTAACACAAATTTTATGCGAAAAGTTTTGAAAGCAAGTTTTAAGCGAAAAAATTCTTTTCTTAAATTCCATTGATTCAAGCGATTGTAGGTAAAACTTTAGTTATCTCTTCTGACTTTTTTCTTGGACTTGGATTTCGATATTGAAGATGGATCCGGCATCATTCGAGTTCAAGTTTGGACTTAACTGATTTTAAATTGAGGGTTTAATGATTTATTCCCGGATTAAACGTTAGGGCTTAGATTATTTGCTGGGAGCTTATTGATGTGCTTGAATAGCGTTACTCGAAGGCTTGCCTTTTATCAGATCGCATAACATGTTATGTTATTTAAGCT